ATGAATTTTACTTATTATTCTTAGTAGTTACTAATGATATATGTGTCTTTTAATGTATTAGTTATCAAATCTTTGTGTATATGTTTGTACTTATTTCTAAATCTTTGAACTTCTAAATTTTCAATATAGTTATTACAAAGTATTTTTGTAATTGTACAAATAATTTGCTTTCTTAACTTATCTTTAGTTTACTTTATAATTTTTATTTTATTACTTTTATATTTTTAATGAATTTTTATAACTCTTTTAGACAATATTTTATTATAATATGGGGCTCTATGAAAAGATTGAGGTGATATTGCATCATCTATTTCTTCTTTGAGTCCCCGTCTGTTTTTAAAATATTTTATTTATTGATATTTAGCATGTAAAACTTATCTGAAATTTATCTTATCAGCTAAATATAAGATGGAAAAAAAAAAAATATATATATATTTCTGGCGTTTTGATGAGGATCAGCACTAATAACTAATCCTTTCAGATAAACGTCATCTCCACTTACGCTTTACCCCGCAACTCGAATACTCCTTTACCGGTGCAAATGTATTGCAAGCGTTGTAATAGATTAACAACCAGTTGTAAATTTCATTAGCATATAAGCTTAAAAATCTCTTTTCCAATTCGGTTTTATAAAAATATTTATTCATTGGTTTGTAATTACCTTCATTAAAAGTAAATTTTTCTTTAACTTTTGTATGGTTATTACGTCATTTTTCTTTTTTTTTTAAACATATTTCAGTGTTCATTTGTTAGTTCGTTTTTACAATATATTGAGAGTGAATAATAATTAATAATTTTATAAAGAAAGCAAAAACTACTGACATTTGAAAACTAGATATCTGAAAGAAGATCAGATATCTAGTTTTTCAGAACCTTCAGAAAAATCAACATAATAAAAATAAAATAAACATACACATATCAATTTGTAGTATTGGAAATAAAGTTATATTTCCAAAGAAATAAATAATATTTCCAAAACATAAATATTATTATCAAATTTTGATAATATAAGAGAGTAAAAGATTTTTCAATTTTAAAATGATGCAAAAAACTAGGTAGATCAAAGTTAGACAAAACAATTTTAATTCAAAAATGGGGTGCACCAAATCAATAGAAAATTAATTTAAATTTGTTCGACAAAAAAGCTCATAAAGAAGGTTGGTATTTCTTAGAGAGTATTTATTTGTAGGTTTCAAGGTAATTAGATCATTAAAAACGGCAAGAGAAAGATTATTTTTAAATATATATACAAAGCATAAAATATTAAAAATGCTAAGTTTGTAAACATTAAGGAAATCTCATTCAAAAAAAATTTGTTTTCATTTTTCAAGTTGAAGTACTGTTACCCTAAGTGCAACATGTTGGTGTAATATTTTTTAACTAAGTTTGTATTCTATGATTAATTTTAAATTTCATTCAAAAATTTTTCAATCGTTTAAAAACTATGACCATGTAAAGTTTAACTCCCCTTCCTTCCCTCAAATTGAAGAGACTACAAATTTTTTGTGGTCATAATTTTTAAACGCTAACAGATTTTTTAATGAAATTTGAAATTTATTAATGAATATTAATTTAGTTAAAAATAGTAAAAAAAAAACTCCAATTATGGTAATTTTTGCAAAGCATCTTTACTTGACATAAATATAAATATATATATGTTTGAAGTTTGCTTAATGCCTAGAAGTTAGCTATAACAAACATTAAATTTTTTTTTTAAGTTTTGAGATAAAACGATTAAAAAAGCAAAAACTTTAAGGGACGGCATATAAAAAAATTTTTATTAGTTAAGTTTTCTCCGCAACTTTTTTGATTAAAACTTAAGTTTTAATATAGTAGAAAAACATTATTTTGAGGTGCAATACACAATTAATAAATTAAATTTTTCAAAAGTAGAAATAGAACAAAATAATTCTAATCTCGCGATATGTCTTAAAACAGTCCTTCAACTAGACTATTTTTTTTTATTTCCTAAGGTTTAATTTTTTTATCTACGTAATGCATACTCCTCCTTCTTTAGCGTGTTTACAATCCGTCGAACACAAACTAAAACATGGTAGTTTAGCAGCTGATTTATCTTACCACCATGTTTCACAAATTAAAACTACACTTGATTTAAAACTGATATGAATTATTCGTTGTTTAGAGAAATTGCCTTTGTTTATAAAGATGATAATTGGTCTTGTGAACAACTTTTTTTATTGCTGCGATTTATCTAAGTATTTTTGGTATGATACGCATGGGTTTGTTGTATCTAATAACGTATTGAAAGAACGAATTCATATCTTCATCAGCTTCATTTCAATAATTTTTTTATTGTCTTACAAAAATTTAAAATCTTATCTTTTTAAAACTGTAAGGTTCTGTTATTTTGAATTACTTTGCTTTTATGTTTTTTTTTATTTCCCAGCAAACATTTTTGTAAAGGATTTGCAGTAGGCCAATATAGGCATTTTGAGCGGTTTATTGGAGTTTTTCTCATTGTTTACTTAAAGGAACAACAGTGGCATCCGCTATAAGTGACCAGCCTACATATTTCAAACATGTGATAGAGGCTAATTATCGGCAAGCCATTTTTAGTGTCTGCCACCAATGGTCCACTAAGTAACCAAAGAGCAATACTTCAGTAGACCGTTCAAAATGCCAATATAGATCTATTGCAGCAGAATGTTTACTTGGTAGTTTAAGTTTTCACTTTTTTGTAATACAAAACTTAGGACTTTTAGAGTTACTATGACAACGCTAGGCCAGCTACTTTTACTCCCTAGTTTATGTTTTTCTATTTTGTTTTATAAGTTGAGTTCTAAAAAAACTTTAGAAAATTTTTGTCTTCTTATCCATTGCTTTTTTTTTCTTTTTGAATTTTTAATGATTCATTCAATAATAAAGAAAGGACTATTATTTCTTTAACTGAGTTTTTCAAATCTTTCCGCTGAGATTAGGAATTTTTTTTAACTTTTGCTGGTTTTGTTTTACATATAGTCAACTACTAAAAAGTGATGGAGCGATGAGCAAGATCAGAAAGTTGCTGCTTTAGTGTGTATTTATTATACTTTTATTTAATTTAAGTATTTGATAAATATATGCAATATCTTTCAAAACAGTTTAACTTTTATAAACATCAAATTTAAAAAAAAATGCGTTTTCTTGAATGTAATTTTCTTTAAAATATTTTAAACAAAATTTTTGATAAATTCTGTTATAATTATTGTGAAAGCAAATTCAATCACGGATTTAACTAGCCGAAACAAAAACAACGTTAATAAACTTACGTTGTTAACATTTAACGACTCCTTAAGAAGTGTTAAAACCTCAACCAAATTTAATGTTCGAACATGTTGCTTTGTAAACGAAGGTTTAAGTAGGTAATCCTACTCAATAATAAATAACTATAATCCTAATTAATAGTTTGAGAAATTAATAGTTTTGTAGTTTAATTACAAGTAACTGTTAATAATTTACTGAAATTTTTCAAATTCGTATGATCTTCCATTGATATCATCAAGTATGGGAGAAAAAATCATGGCTATTGACTTGTTAAAACAAGGCAAAACATTTAGGTTGATACAAACAGCAATTTGAATAGCATTTGGAACTATCAGAAACCTGATTAAAAAGTCCAAAACGTTTTCATTTGTGAAAAATTAGCCAAGATCCTGAGCTAAGCGTAAAACAGGAATTTATCGGAAAATTATCAAGATAATGCACAAATAACAATTTATATCATTTTATTTCAAGCCTTTTTAAAAAAGAATTTGGAATAAAAAAAAGTGCATGTACAACATAAAAAGGATTGAAAGAGAGTGCATTTAAACCAAGACTTGCACGTAAGAAACCATTTCTTTTGAAAATCCATCGAAAAAGAAGACTCTTATTTGCCAAAAAAATATGCAATTATGCCGGTATCATTTGGGAAGAACATTTTGAGAAATGACGAGTAGAAGTTTAATCTTGTGAAGTCAGATGGAATTCAAAACTCGTAGGCTATTCTGGATCAAAAATTGTAGCACATAATATCTAAAAAGCTAAAGATCATACTTCAAGAAACTTGGACTCAAAAAACTTCATATACGACAAAAAAAGTCATTTCAAAATTGACTTGCAGAAGTCATAAAAGCTAAAGATGGCCGGACTCGATATTAAAAAGTAATATAATTAATTACTTTAAAAAAGGTTTAATATTTTAAATTTTGCTCGAATACTTATTTAAGGTTTAAAAAAAGTGCATAGTTTGAATGCATCATTAAGTTTTTTGCAATTAAATTTAACTATTATAATTTATTTGCCTATTAATTTTTGAATATGTATATATATATATATATATATATATATATATATATATATATATATATATATATATATATATATATATATATATATATATATATATATATATATATATGTTTAATGAGTTTGATTATAAAGGTGATAAACTTTTTGTTAAAGATCAGCGAAATATTATAAATGTATAATAATATCAAAATATATTAAAAAAAAAAAGTTTATACTCAACCTTTATAATCAAACTCATCAAACATAAATATCGTTTAACAACAATATGATTTTAAAGTTTATATAGTCTAATGCCAAATCAGGTTTTCTCTTATAGAAAAACCTGATTTCGGATTAGATGATCATAAAAGTTAGTTTACAATGCTGCATATAAAATAGTGTATAAAAAAAAAAATCACAATATAAACATAAAGAGTGTTATACCTACATTAAAAATACAACTGAAACCCTGATTCTGTTTTTTTTTTTATTTTTTTAAATTTGACTTCATTTAAAAAATTGTAATAAAACACATTTTAATGACCTTTATTGAAGTTTGACTAGCACTTGTGAGAGTGGCAAAATGTTACATAATCAGCAAATGCTTGATTTTTGTAGGCATAAATTAATCATACATTAGTTTTTTAAAATAAAAAATTAAATATAAAGGTTATATTACAAAAAAAGAATAAAGTCTGTTAAAATTATTGGAATTATATTTATTTGTTTAGAAATGCATAATTTGTTTTTGATGACGTTTGGAGCAGTATTTTTGGCAGGTATGCAAAATTGTTTAAACTAGCACTTTTAAATTTTGAAGTAGATATATGTAGAAGGAATTGTTTGTTTTTCAAGCAAAAAAGTGAAGAACTTTTACAGATTTTTTAGACAAAATCAACTTTCTTACCTTTTACCTGCCCTCTTTTCTAATATCTTATTTTATATAAATCTTGTAATATTCACTTGTAACAGTCATTTATAAACTTGTTAAAAGTTTAAATATATGATTTAAATGAAATAATGACTTTAAAACGTCACGTTTTAAACTCATTATTTTAAAATAATGTAAATAACTTTTATCAAAAGTATGCTACTTTTTATGTTCGTTTTTATTTATAAGAGGCAGTTGTACACTTGTTAAGTTGCAAAAATTTTATTATAAACAACAAAAATAAGTTCTTTAAAGCTTGTTTTAACCATTGCTTCACAATAGCTTTTAGGCTGTTATGAAGCAATTGTTAGATTGTTGACTCAGGATCAAATGAAGCATTGTCCTGTTCCACTATATAAATTTATATCGTAACATCACAAAGCTAAGCGTTTGTTTGCGCAACGCCATTGGATATGCATTAAATTAATCGCAGTTTTCGTTTATTCGTCTCAGAAAAAAAAAATCCCTGTTGCGTTGCCTTATAAGTAATAGAATTATAGTTTGTAAAAAATTGTTAAACCACAAGTTATCTTATAAAAGATTAAACAACTTAAGCGGTATAAATCTTAAGTATAAGCATAAATAACGCAAGGATAAGAGCCATCTCTATCAGCCTGAGGAGTTTTTATAAAGAGAAAGATGAGTTAAAATCTGAGGGAGCTTTAATAAGTGAATAAAATTTGATTTATTTAACAAAAGTATGAAAAAATATATATATCAAAACTTTGTTTGTCCTAAAGAAAGTGTTTTCTGAGTGTTTCTTTTTTTTCTGTGGGTTTTGGTGTTTGGCCTCCATATAACAGTTATCTGATAGAGTATCTCAACACTAACAGATTGAGTGCTAGCAATTTTAACTAAAACTTTATAATTTTGTTGATTAATTTAAATAGCTTTTTTATTAATTACTTTTTTCAATGTTTTTAAAGGTTTAGCGGTAAATTATATACAGGTTATGGAGCATAAATTAAAAAAAAGTTCAAAAACCGCCCCACCAAAATCCAACTTATTATAAAAAAAAGCAACTACTAAACTTTGATAGGCAAAAAATAGCTAACGCGTTAGATTTAAGCAAGGCCAACCAAACTATTATTTAAAAAAAAAGCAGTCAATGAATTATGTTCAACATAATTCATAGGACACGGCATGCAATAAAACTAGGGAACAAAGTGAAATATTTATCCTGAATTTAAATGTTTTTGGGGTTTCAAAAAAACTTTGTTGCCCCAATTCTGAAAAATAAAAATTTTGTTTTGAAATTTTCTTCAAATACTGAAAAAATTTGGAAAATGTGATAAAAAATCTAATTAATTTCTTTTATAGTGAATGCTCCGAAATCACTACTACACTTATCCTGTGCAGCAATAAATAAATAGACTATTGAAAGCATCAGCGCGCTTATTTAGCACTGACAAAAAGTTATATTTTTTTTGAGCGATTGTTGATCTAAGCCTCGTTTTTACACTTTTCTGTATTAAAAATGAGCTTTCTGGTGTTGCTTTGTTTGTTCTTCGTAACCAATGACGTATTAAAAAATGGAATAATTCGACTTTTTTTGTTTCCTTGGTAAGGTAGGTTTATCAATTGATTTGTTTAAATTTGCTGTCAAAAACAAAGTAAAGTTGTCATCATTTCTTATATTTTTTATTGTATCAACCACTAATTATGCAGATTTTTTTCCACTGGTTGCCGATATCTTTGTCAATTGAAGGGATTTTTACAAAGGGATTTTTACAAATCTTATAAGAGAGAAAAAGAAGTTAAAGAACTCCATCTGGCTCTTACAACCAACAATTCTTGCTTTTGCCTCTTGGTCAAATTTTTCTTTCGTCCCAAAGTTGAAAGAGTGATGCATAACAATCAATGACTCACTTATTATATTCTGCCCGGACGGTTTGGGCAAAATGTTCTTATTGTGGAAAGTTTCTTCAGCTTTTTGAATGGTTCAGAGTCTTGTTCTATCACAATGTTCTCGTTAATGTTTCCAATCAAGTATTCATGTTTTGGTAAAAACTTTACAGCTACGCATATTTCTCCAACAACACTCACGGGATCTCACAAAATTTCACGTTTCATAGTCAGTGATTAATGACTAAACTAAAAGCATGCTCTTGACAGTGTATGACAACAGCTTTTAGTAGTTAAGAAAAAATTTGAGCTGATTCTCCAGATTTCTTCTTTATCATATTAGATGCACCATCATAGATTTGACTCATCCAATCATGGAAACTTAAGTTAATTATAATGAGATTTTTTTTTGTTAAAAAGTACAATAATATTGCTTTTAATACATTTAAACTGGTAAAATCCTATAAAGTCTTCAAAAAGGTTTAAATATTTACCATTCAAAGACAAAATGGTAGCTGTTTTTTATAGGTCACGTAAGTACCCTCGTCGGCAATAATGGAAAAAACTTTTCGGATGGTTTTTAACTTGATCTCGTAGGGTTTTTTAATTTTTTTTAATGTTAGAGAAGTTTAACCTCATTTTGCACCTCGTTTTTAGTTCTATAGCCCTCTTATTGGATATCTACTTATCCATTAATTCCGCGATGTCTTGACATTGGACAACGTAAAGCTGATATAACGAGGCTGTTTTGTGACATGCCAAGTCTTGGTGAGTCCAAAAACATTTTAGAGCTTTTTATCTTTATAGAATTGTAGTTATTAACTACAAGTTATTAACTAACCTTAATCGTCGGTCGCTTCTACATTCTACTCTTGCTCAGTCGAAGTTTTTAAACTGAGCAAGTTATAATATAAATTAATATAATACATTTATTAAAAAAAAGCTAATTAAATCCAATGCTACTAATAAATACAAATAAATTAGTTAATTAAAAAAAAAAACATTTTAGTTTTAAGTTAGGTAGAATTCCCCACCACCGCTGACAAATCAAGTAAGCAATGTTTCTTTTTAACCAATGCACAGTGGGTCAAAAGTGACATTTTCTAGCCAAAGTCCCCAAAACAAAAACTTTATTATGTTTTTTTATTTAAAACAGTTTCTTACATTGAAAAACACAAACCGCCGAAAAAATAATATTTGTTTTGAAAAAACTTTAATTTTTATTGCATAATTTTGCAAATTTTTTCCATTTATGAAAAATTCCGTTAAACCATCTAACAAATTAACAACAAGGGTATTATTTAAGTTAATATTTTTAGCGGAGTATTCTTTTGTTGGCTCATGCATTAGTTCAATGAAACAAGACGTAGACTTTTTTTTGTTTGTTATGCATCTTCTTTCTAATTGTGCAAATTAAAGGATCAGATGCACATTAAAGACGATAAAAAAGGCTGAGTTGTTTTTATTTTCCGATTGCATTTTATTATAAAATTTTCACAAAAGATCTTAAAAAATTTATTGGTAAAACCTTCAGAAAACATACCTAATCGAAGAGTAAATTGTTCAATGACTTTATAGCCATGAATCAAAATCTTATGAAGTTTTACAGGTCTACATATAGCAAAGCAATATTCCAACAGAATGTTGATGAGCAAAGGTAATAATCACATGAAGGTATGGCGAGAATAATATAAAACCTTTTCATAAGATTTGCATCTATGTTCATTATATTAGCTCAGACATCGTATTGCTGAAAAAATTACCTAGCTATGTTACCGTCGTTTGAGGTATCTGCCCACCTACTCTTGGATGGCCTATAACTTTCCTTTTTCAAAATTAAACTTAAACTTAAACCTTTCTCAGTTTAATAATATTTTCTTCTTATTCAGTCCTAGCCGGTCACTTCATAATTGGCATCTTGTGAGAGATAAGGAACATACATTCTAAAAACCTTATTCAAGCACGCAAAGTTGAAACATCATGTCTGATATTGCCTTCTAAAATTTTTTTTTGAACAAGTAAAGATAGATTGTTCATTTCGGTTGGACATGCACCACACACTGAACAGCATTTGTAAGAGTTGGTAGCTGTGGAATTAATAAGTAGAACCTTTCCATCTATCATTTGTTATATTTACAATATGTTGTACTACAAGTTTCTTTATTGTACCGTCCTCCTATAAAACAGATATATTGTATATTGTTATATTTTTTAAAAAAGCTATAATTGACTTATATTCTGCAAGAAATAATTCTTCTGATTTTTCTCTATATTTAAATCTTAGAAGCCTACAGTAACTCTTTGATGATGGTTTTGGATTTCTCCAAACAACCTGTTTTTTCTCATTTTTGAAACAATAGAGTTCTAGAGGAACGAAGAAGTTATGAAAAGCAATTCGTCAGTATTAAATTCACTCGCATCATCTGACTACTGTTTATAAACAGCCCTATTGTACCATCAAAACCATAAAAACTTTGTGTATTAGAATAAGTCTAGTAAAATCTTTAGGCATAGGCAAGTTTAACATAATACTATAAGCTAAACACAATCTTAATGCAGTATAAAAAAGAAGATTTTGTAATGGCATCTCTACAGAGTAGTCACTGACCTGAATGTTTTCAGGGTAGCATTTATTTTTAGCCTCTTTTACTATACTATATGATGGGTATAGAGCATTATGTCAATGCTGATAAGTTTCTTTCGATAAATTAGGATCTAAGACTAACTCTAAAGACTGTATAAAATATAATAAATTTTATTCATAGTTAAAGTAAACATTCCACAGGTTTTTGTCTCAAGTTTTTGTTTTTTCCAGTCAATTATAATTTTGTCTAACCAAATTTTGTTTCTTTTTTCAAATACTGTACTCGTTCTATTATATTTTCTCCACTTTTTTTGGCTTAATAAACGAATTTATTTAATTAATAAACGAAATAATTGACAAATTATTATTAGATTCTTCAAAATTGCTTTCGGAACCAAAATTTAAATTTTTCGCATGTA